ACAACAATGCCAATTACCATTTAGGCATAGGCATAAAATGCCTGGCTTTGGAACATTTATGCTGGAACTTTAATGCCTATGCCTATAAGTGTGCTGGGTATTTTATGCCAATAGGCATAGGCATGGCATAAGGCACTAGTGCCTGGCATAGTGCCAAGATGCCTGGCATGGGCATTTGCAGAACCCTAATGGACTGCATTTTGAAAGATATTTATATATAGATTAACTTCAGAAAAATAGTTTGAAGTTGAGAAAGTTTGGTAGGATCAAGATTTGGTATTAATTGTTGTTGTCGTTGTAGTTGCTCATTCAAATCAAACATATAAATTTGTGAACAGAACGATGTATCTTGACTTTCAGGCATAATAGAGCCGATTCAATGATATAATTCACCTTGAATGCGAAAATTGTATATGCTATGTGTTCTGGTAACACAATCATCAATTTTAACACCAATGGAAGTGAATGCAAGGGAAGAGTTGTACATACAAATCTTTTTACGAAAGTCACATGCTTGTGTACTTTTTTAGTTAAAAGAGTGCGTAAAAATGTAGGTGGTATCGTAATAGCTGGCAATTGTACTTTATTCTTAGCACAACAACTACTAAAAACTGGTGCGCATTTTGATCGGAAACCTTCTCTTCTATCTAGTGAAGTGCTTTACATTCAGGATATACAACATTCATGTGGGCACAGTTGTGTGGAAATACAGCACTTGTATCTAGTGATTTGAATCGAGAAAAATTTCCTTAATCGGTTAACCGAACCGAATTATTTCATTCAACCGATTGCCAACCGGTTATATTAACTATCTACTACCATCTGTAATTTTGGTGCTTTACTCAAATTATTGTCTCGTCTTTATGTTCATTCATTTTCTTTTCGGACCTTTTACTCTCTTTTTACGTCATTTTCATACTATATCGATTCCGCCAACTGATTACAACCGGTTGTATCGGGTCAGCCGATTAAGAATTTCCTCAACCGGTTAACCGAAATTTATTCGATTCGGGTCGATTAACCGATTATAGCCCAACCGATTCAAATCACTAATTTAGAGTCGCTTTATAATCACAATATAGTATTTTACTTCATTTGAAAATGCTAGATTTAAACTTTATATCAAATGTGTAAATCATTATTTACTTACCGACTAAATTAATGCGGATGAATGATTTGAATGCATTATGTAATGGTAATTAAGTATTTGTTTTTTGATTTAACAATCATCTGGCAAAATTCAATAAAAAATTTTTTATTTGAATTATGCAACTACCTGACCAATTTTGATGAAAATTTTTTATTTGAATTCTAAAAATTTACGGAATTCAAATAAAAATTTTGTACCGAAATTGGTCATGCGGTCGTCGAGATATGTTCGCTCAAAGTCATCTATCAAAATAAAAGCCGCACCGAATTATTTTAAAATTTTGAGCGAAGATATCTCAATGACCATCCGAATAATTTTACTGAAAATTCTTTTATTTGAATTCTACAAAACTTAGAATTCAAATAAAAATGATTTTTATCGAAATTATTCATGTGGTTGTCGAGGTATCTTCGCTGAAAGTTTAAAAATAATTCAGCGTAGCTTTTATTTTGATAGACGGTTTGAACTTTCTTCAAGATATCTCGACAACACCTGACCAAATTTGATGAAAATTCTTTTATTTGAATTCTACAGATTCGTAGAACTCAAATATTTTTATTGAACTTTGTTAGTTGATTGTTAAGATCTCTTCATTAAGTTTATTTTTCTGGGAATATGAATACCAAATTTTGCACTGCATATTCTGTCACATCGATCGACATAACTCGACTGCACGAGTGCGTTTTTAATTCCGATGGTTAATCATAAATGTCTTTATACTCACTCACTAAATGAATGATTAAAGCGAATAAATGATTTGAGGGGTATTACGTAATGGTAAATAATTATTTATTTTCTTAATTCGTGAACTTGTTTTACTGCTTTTAATTCCAATGATTAATAAACGTTCGTTATACTCACAAACTAAATTAATGCAAATGAAATGATTTGAAGGGTATACGTAATGATATATAACAGATAAGTATTTATATTTTGATTCATAACTTGTTTTGCTGTTTTTAATTCCAATGATTAATAAATATTCTTTATACTCACTCACTGAATGAAAAATTAAAGCGAATAAATGATTTGAGAGGTAGTACGTAATGATAAATAAGTATTTATGTTCTTGATTGGTGACTTGGTTTTTTGCTATTTTAAATTCCAATGATTAACAAATGTTTTTTATACTTACAGACTAAATTAAATGATTTGAAGGGTTTTATATGCAATGGTAAATAAGTATTAATGTTATTGTGAAATTAGTTTTCTGTTTTTAATTCCAATGATTGATAATCTCTATAGTCACACTCTATATAGTCATATTGGATAAATTATAGTATAGGTGACACCTAATTTAAACCAATTGATTATTTATTAAGGTGTCACATATACTATATTTAATCCGTCATATTTATTTATGATCACACCAATTTTTAAAACCAACCTATATAAAATCTATACAATTTAACCTCTACATAAGCACAATTCTTTATATACACAGAATTTCTTGAAGCCAAGCGTGTGGTTATAAAAAGGTTTAACTATAAATGTTCTTTATACTCACGGACTAAATTAATGCAAATGAAATGATTTGAATATTTTTACGTAATGGTAAATAAGTATTTATATTCTTGATTTTTGAACTTATTTTGCTGTTTTTAATTCAAATGATTAATAAATCTTCTTTATACTTACGAGCTGAATGAATAATTAATGTAAATGAAATGATTTGAAGGACATTATGTAATAGTAAACAAGTATTTATGATTTGATTTGTGAATTTATTTCCTGTTTTAATGCAATGATTAATAAATGTCCCACTGAATGAACGATTAATGCGAATGAAATGATTTTGAAGGATATTGAATAATGGCAAATAAGTATTTATGTTCATTCGTGAACTTGTTTTGCTGTTTTACTGTTTTTAAATCGAAGATTAATAAAAAAATGTTCTTTACACTCACCGACTAATTAATGCGGATTAAATGAAGGGCAATATGTAATAATAAATAAGCCTTTTTGCTCTTGATTTGTGAACTTGTTTTGCTGTTTTTAATTCCAATGATTAATAAATGTTCCTTATACTCACACATTGAATGAATAATTAATTCGAATGAAATAATTTGAAGAGTACAGTCAAACCCCTCTATAGTCACCTCCTCTATAGTCACAAAACCAATATAATTACAAATTTATTGTTACCAATTATTTATAACAATATAGACAATACCTTTATATTAGTCACACCTCTTTATAATCACAGTATTTTGTATCCCAAAGGTGTGACTATAGAGAGGTTTGATTGTATTACGTAATCGTAAGTAATTATTTATGTTCTTTATTTGAGAATTTGTTTTGTGTTCTTAATTCCAATTATTAATAAATACTAGTACGATGGGTGGCGCGAAGTGCCACCCATCCTATTCAATATTCAAGAAAAATTTAGTAAATCCTAAATAGAATATTCAAGTAAATTTATTAATTAATAGTTTTTATCTCACTATTAAACTGAAATTAAATATGCATTGGTGGCGGCAAATATTAATAATAAGTTATGAAATCGCAAATTTTAGTAAACCTTGAAGCTTCTAAGGTACATATTTCGATTAAATGAACATAAGATAAGGCCCCTTTTAACCTCCCCCCTTAGTAAAAAAAATTTTTTTGGGATATATATATATATAATTTTGGCTGGAGAGCTAATGCTGGTGGAATTAAGATTAGAAATTGGGGTTGTTTAAAGCCTGGCATCTTACGAAATTTCCCATTGATGGTTATCAGATAATCATGAGGTTATAGTTTTTGGATATGGCCAATCAAAAATGTTAAAGTACACAGATCCAAAATTAAATTATATAGATAGATATCGAATTAAATAGGTTACCGATTGGTTTTGGGAAGTTCAATAGTATAGTGGAAATAGACTTGGTATGTCAATCCTTTATTGGATTAGATGGTTATTGATTTTGACAGGGTTATTTTGGAAGATTTAACAACATATAATACATTATTTTTAAGAAAAAGCCCTATTTTATGTTTGTTCTTATATGGTATAGAGAAATCGATAATAAAAATTCAAAAGCTTCTTCCAAGCCTTATCTAAAATTAGCAGTAATCTGACATGAACTAACATTGCAGAGTCAAATAATTGACAATCTTATATCAATTTAGTAAATTCATACAGGGTAGCTCGAAACTTCTCGCTATATACTATTAGATAGATAGATTAGATTCTTTGTATTCACCGACTAAATTAATGTGAATAGAATGATTTTAAAAGGGTACTACATAATGGTAAATAAGTATTTATGTTCTTAATTTGTGAACTTGTTTTGCTGTTTTTAATTCCAAAGATTAATAAATGTTTTTTATACTCACCAACTAAATTAATACGAATAAAATGATTTGAGGGGTATTACATAATAGTAAATAAGTATTTAGGTTCTTGATTTGTGAACTTGTTTTGCTGTTTTTAATTTCAATTATTAATAAATATTCCTTATACTCATTCACTGAATAAATTAATTTGAAGGGATTACGTAATGGTAAATAAGTATTCATCCTCTTGATTTGTAAACTTGTTTTGCTGTTTTCAATTCCAATAATTAATAACTATTCTTTATACTTACACACTAAATAATTAATGTGAATGTTTTTGATTTATGAATTTGTCTTTATGCCGATGATTAATGAATATTCTTTATACTCGCGTAAATAAGTATTTATATTCTTGAATTGCGAACTTGTTTTGCTGTTTTAATTTCAATGATTAATAAATGTTCCTTATACTCACTAACTAAATTCATGCAAATGAAATGATTTTGCAGGGTATTTTGAAATATTAAATAAGTAATAGTTATCTCATATCTCCTAATAGTTGCCTATGATACTAAGCACTGATATTTTTATGTAAATGGTCAACATGAAAATATCAAAAATTATTCAATGACCCCACATCATATTCAACAGTTCTCATAAATTTTTATTATAATATAAAATGTTACATGCATTTCAATATTATGCTATTGAAAATTGTCATTTTAAACTATATATCTATATGAAGAAATTTTTTATATGATTATTTTGAATGAATAGTATATGTAAAAAAAAATTGTAACTAGTATATTATTGAAAATAAAATGTAACATTTGTAAAATGACAAATATTAAAAATAGAACATTGATTCTAAAATTCTCATTGAACCATGTTTATGTCTTATGCAGAGACAGTATTAGTATTAACATTAACATGAGAGCCATTAAATTCAGCAG